CAACTCTTTATCTCTGTGAGGAATGATTAAGACTATCAAAATGTGGCATAAAAATGCCTATTGCCCTATGCACTAGATATTTAATAAATGGATGCTCCTGCATACAAGTGCCTATATAAATAATGTATGTATGTGTTTGTATTTTCTAGAACCCTGAAGGAGGTCTGTATGTGGCTGTGACTCTGTTGGCAGGCATCACTGGAATTGTCATCACACTGTGCCTCATATTAATTATAACCTCCTCTACTAAAACCATTCGAAGATCGTACTTTGAAGTGTTTTGGTACACACACCATCTCTTTGTGATCTTCTTCATTGGTCTCGCCATTCACGGAGCTCAGTGAGTGCTTAAACTCCATGGCCAAGTACTTTCCACCCCTTAGAGTCTAGGTGTGATACTGTGTTAGAGGCACAGTAATTTCCTTGTTTGTACATGGTTAAAGTGAGTGCCGAAGGAATGTGAGAGAACAGTGAAGATCAGTTCAATAGAAACTTCTTAGCAGCACTTCAGTTTCTTGCACCCAGTTAATTGCTATTCATGGTACTGTTACTTACAGCAAGCATGAAAAATACACCAAAGTCTGAGTATCATTGCAAGTGTATAAACATGGTGAGAGCACTGGTAGGGTCCTGGCTGGCTGTGGCAATGTCTCCTGTGGCTTATTCACTACTAACTTAGACAAACTTCCAAACTACGAGGGTTAATGATTTAATCAGTTGAAGGGGTTTTCTGTAGTTCAATGAGATTGAATCAAGTCGACAATCATTTTATTGGTTGCCTAATGCATATGAGGACAAATCTCAGGCACTGTGGGACACACTAGAAGGAAAAATACAGGAGTATTGCCTTCAAATAATCTACTATAATAAAGGCAACAGCTAACCTCTATTGAGCACTTGTCCTATCAGGCTTTCTTAAGGATTTGACATGGAATGTTTCTTTTACTCCTCAGAATATATAGGTATTGTTACTATCTCCATTTTACAGACAAGGAAAACCAAACCAAACCCACTGCCATTGAATCAATTCTGACTCATAACGACCCTTTAGAACAGAGTAGAACTGCCCCATAGAGTTTCCAAGGCTGTAAATCTTTATGGAAACAGACTGCCACATTTTTCTCCTGTGTAGCAGCCAGTACATTCCTACCCACTGACCTCAGGTTGGCAGTTGAGTGCTTTAACCACTGTACCACCAGGGCTCCTACAGGCAAGAAAAGTGAGGCTAAAAAATGGTAAGATATGTAGCCTAAGTCACCCAGCTGGTAAAGGGACATAGTTGGGAGTGGAGCCCAGATGGTCTAAGGCAGGCTGATAAATGGTCCATCAGAGACACACAGCACTTGGGTATGTGAGTGGGATTTGCCTTATTATGGATCCTCTTTAATACCAGGTTTCCTTTTTATGCTGTTTCACATTGGTTGATACACCCACCTGTGTGCAGAGGCTGGCCTGGGAAAGTTGTCTGGTGGGCACAGGGCTTCAAGAAGCTAATGGTAGAGGAAGTAGGTGCTCAAAGCTTAATGACTACTTAAAGCCAAGTCTACCTAGAGGAGGCCATGACCTGTATAAAAAGGGGAAGGGTGGGGAAAGGCAACATTGGGCAAGTACTTGTGTGCTTTCATGATCACCTTGCTGAATCTGATCCCTTTAAAAAGATAATACTCTTTCTAAACAGTGACAATCAGTGTAGACAAGGAATCTCTTGACTCTCTTAAAGCAATTGAGTATTTCTAAATGGCATTTAGCCATAATCCCAGCTGCTTCAGAAAGTTCTAGAAAATAATTTCTTCCCCTCCCTAGCTTAGTATATAGTTTACATTTGTATAGCTTCACAGATATTCATTTTCCTTTGGAGTAGGCAAAGGAGATAGAGTTACCCTGATCTTCATTTAAGGAGAATCTAATACCTGGTAGCATAGTGTCTAAGGCACTTGACTGCTAACCAGAAGGCTGGCGGTTCAAACCCACCAGCCACTCCTCGGAAGGAAGGTTGGGCAATC